CAGCAGCCAATCTTTTTTTTCAGTGCAAGAGAACAAATTCCTTAAGAGTTGAAAGTTCTAACAACATACTTAAATTTAATTACAATAAAACTTCCCCAATCACATGTAATTATAATATATTTAAAGAACCTTTTTTGCAACTTAACCACAAGTTTCTCAAAATTATATAATAGAGTACTTTTGTATTCAATCCCTAAAACTATGAGAAGCGATTACTTTCATTCTTATCCATTTTTTTGTTGAACAGCATTATTAATTATACATTACACTATGCATAATAATGCTTAATGAATAAATTTACTGATTTGCTTTGCAGTTACTGGAGCAGTACAGAAATTCGGATGAAGGTAAATTAAATCCTTTAGTGCGTTTGCTGAAGGATACTGCCTAGTCGTTGACTACGTTTAGTAGGTTCCACTAAAGGTTTGATTAGTTTAATTTTGTTTCTTAGAGCTTATTAAACATCATTAGACATTATAGTTTGCGCGTGTCATTAACGAAATCATCGATAGGATCGTTATATCGAATAATCGCTTCTTCGACGAAATAACAGAAAAATAAAGATTGAAAGATTGCCTCGAATGCAATTCACAGCCGCTTGTATCCGATTATTGCACAATTAGAGATTGAATCTCGATAACGCTAATTTCTTTCTAGTGAATACTTTCTAGTATATACGTGTACATACGTGTATGTCTCTTCTCGAGAATGAAAGTCAATTTGAGAGTTAAATTTACTCAGAAGTAACGCGAACAAGACGAAAGTACGTGTACTTTAATTTAGACTAGTGCTTCCCGAACCATTTCGGTCGCCTATTTACGTCTGCGACATACTGATGGAACACGCATGCATATTCTGTTTTACAAACTTGCGGTATGCATCGTTTCGCTTCTACAAAGTATCCTAGTATCATTCTGGATTTTTCAACTAAAATATTTTTTTTTATCAATATCGGATTGCTTTAATCCTCTACCGTACAATTCTCTACAAAGTACGCGTATTATAAAATTGTTTGAGATATGTTTCGGGAAATACTGATTCAACTGTGCGATACTTGTCACGATGTCAGAATAAAAAAGAGAATATATGCAAGCGCGCGTTTGCCAAATCCGAAGGAGGAACAAAATTATGAGTTACATTTCCGAATAATCGCTTAGTTGAGGACTGTTGTTTTGTTATACGTAACGCGGGATAATTTATGCATCAGAGACTTACGGTCGAAATTACCTGTCGCCTCGCTGAACGAATGACGACAGGAAACATCACGATGATCGCTCCCTAATTCTTTAGGCTAGACTTAAGTAGGTTCTCGATTGAAATTATCGCACTCGTGAATTATCATCTTGAATAATATATTTTTACGTATGTTCGATAAATTAAAAAAATACGAAACTCAATAAATTTTCCTTATTTTTTTTCCGATATTAGGAAAAGCAATGCACGTGAATATTCTATCGTTCTAAATTCTAAGATTGTTTCATATATAAATTTAGCTTCCGTCAATATAATAAGAGCGTTAGAGATATAATAGAGGATACGACGAGGAGTAATCGAACGAAACACGCGGATTATCCGTGAATCTAGTCCTTTTAATATTAACAGATCTTTGCAATCTGTGTGTATCTCGTACTGTATTTTTTACCGTCCGTTTCCACGCGTGCCAATCTGTCATGCAAAGATGTGTCTTCAAATGGGCCTTTGATATAGTAATCGTCGCGTGGCACGGCCCGATAGAAGTAGGAAAATATTTGTGCGTATGTTAGCCACGTAAACTCTACCCGGGTATAAAGTTTTTATCGAACTTGAATTTACGCGCACGCGCGCGTTGCGCGTTCATTATACGAATAACATTTTCCCTGATAAAAAAATCGAATTTAGGAAATATTTATCGTTCGGACGACAAGTAAAGAATAATTGATTATATTATTTATTTAGTATAGATGGTACGAGTTTTCGTGGCTGCAACAGATGCATTCGTGCAATGTCCTGCCAATGCAATTTATATTTAAGTATTATATTAATGTATGGAGTATCTCCCGAAAAACACAAGTTCGGCAGTATTTTCCATCAAACTTTCATTTGAATTTTATTGCTTATATCGTTTTTTTTTTTTTAAAAGTTTTGATTGTGGATATGATTCGTCATCTTTGTAATCTTCGACTTTTAGATGTCTTATTCAGTCTCGTTTTTTCTCCTTTATATAGAGATGACTTAACTCTAGTTGTGTCCATGAGATTTTCCGATATTAATAAATATATAATAAGATGTTGGGTCCAAAACAAATTTTTAAATATTAAAAGAAAATGTTTTCATAATTTGATAGAAAATATTGCCTTGCTTTTATTATATTAATTTTTTGGGTATACACACACGTATATATAATATTCAGCAAATATTTAATATTAATAACAACATGTAGGGTCGAATGAAAACGAGAATCATAAGTATCTCACGCGTTCGACCTTAAAAATATATAACGATAGAAATATGTGATTGTAATGTATTTATTAGTTTTCTGCGGAACTTTCGCCGTCCGGATGAACTTAGATTTTTACTAGGAATAAACAATATTAGTAAAACTTTCGCACAAGATCGATGTCTCATCTATTAGTGTGCCTAATGAATACGAAAATGAATATGCAAAATTTGTATAATTGAGCTACAAATTAATTTATTTAAAATTTTCACATTATAAAAGTATGTATTCGTATATTTATTCAAAATTTTGAATTTACAAGAAAATATTTATTCATGAAAATATTATGATTATTTTATTATACAAGTATTCATATTCGCATATAAAATAATCAAAGTATTCAAACAAAATGTAAACTAAAAAATGAAGCCTCTATAAGCAATCTTTATTCTTTAACTATAATTTACCAACATTTCGATGATTCTAAGCGATTAGATAATATTGTTAAATCTTGTTTTTATAAAATCTGTAATCTTTAATTGAATGTAGAAAGAGAAACACAATTATTATGATGGTTCCGTTACTCGTACATTATTCTTTTTATATTCCTTTACGCAAATGTGGTTTTCTTGGACATAATATTAATTGGAGAATTTGATGCAACAGGAACGTATGAATAACTTTATGTAATTTAAAAAAGGACTTATATAAGTTTAAATATTATTCCTCTGCCGGTATCATTGTTTTACTGATTTCTTTTTACTCTATGCTTGCAAATTACGTGCAAATAATGCAGAGTAGGAGTGAATACGAAATCGAAAATATTTGTAATAATATTCACAAAAATATTTATTTGAATCGAACGAATATTATTTATTTATTTCTCGATGAATACTAAAAAGAGTATATTCATACTCTATTCATATTCACTATTCATCTCTCTAAATTCCTTGGAGTGGAATCTCACTCTAAAGAATGAAAATTCAGTCAGTCTTGGAAAAGAATAGTTCAATTTTTAATCTTTAAGAGTGAAATTTCACTCTTTAGAGTGAAACAATTCACTCTAAAAGTTTTAGAGAGTTCATTTATTCGAATATTGGGAGTGTATTCATCGGGCACACAATCTAGACAACTAGTAACTAAAAATTAAATCACGATGTTTAGTGAGCTAGTGATTTAGTGTCGCTTTTGCCGGGTGCTGTTCTCGTGAGCGTAGCTCGTGTTCTAGAAACGAAAGAGAAGCAGTATTTTTCTACGGTAGCTCTTACATATAAATGCGCATACGCGATTGTAGATTTAAAAACGATCCTTTACAATAAATGCACGCTCCCGCGGGAAATACGTCTCTGCGAGATGGTCCCGTTTAATTCAAATACGATCCGTACTTATGTACCTTCGCGTTTCACGACAACTTTATATTCTCTCATATTGAAGGATTCATCGTGATCGAACGATAGAATGGCGTTCCAAAAAGGCAGTCATGTACATAGATTCGTGCAATTTCGTTCACGAACTCGACTAGATTCAAATGGGGATACAATCGACATTCTAACAGTCCCGATGAATTTCTTGCGAGAGAAAAATTTAACACATTTTTAATCGCCAGAAGATGATCGATAAAAGGCGAAGCTACTAATTTTATTCTTATTGTTACGAAATTATTGCGTTTCTATTTGTTGTTATCATATCCCTAATTGATCTTGGTCGTCTTGCGTGAATATTAGGAGAATGTTAGTTGCGTTAATTAAAGCGCTCGTAGGAATTGTACGTAGGACACACAACTATTTTATCGCGAGGAGAAGGCAGAGTTCAAGATATTAACGAACACGTTACGAGTGCCATGCGCATCTCGACGCGCATATATTTGGCATACGCATATACAAACACGTAAATAAATGAGTATAAGCTAATATATTACATATGTAATATATCGCTCGTATATAATAAAGATAACATTTTTTTGCGACATACACCTTACTGTATTTCGATGTGGAATTCATTTGATCCTCTTGTCCACTAGAATAATCCACCATCAGAAAAAACGCTTTTTACTGAAGTAATATTTAAAAGTTTAGTTAAATATGAATCTGAAGAATTACGTTGAATAATCCCATGTGAAATAAAAATTCATAAATCTAAGGAAGTTTTTCAGTGTAATGTCTCTATAATGAAACTTATTCGATTAGAATTTTCTCCATTTTTTCCTGAAAAAGATTAATTTAAAAATCATTGAAGCGGTATCGTCCTCAGAAAAAAAAAGAAAAAATGTTGCGGTAACCGGGATAGTGTATGATATACATAAATCGTGAATTATACTACCATCCCTCGACTCATTCTCCGTGGTGATCGAGGACGGATCGAGGCGGAAGAGAGAAAGAGAGACGACGCCTGTCATCAGATCGAAGAAAAAGGCGCCGACGAAGTGTTCTTCATCATGAAAAACGCGCATCCCGCACTCTTGGCTGGAAATGACACGGCTCTCGCATGTACGCGAGAGGAGAGAAAAAGAGAGAGCGAGAGAAAGAGAGAAACAGGCGAGGCCACGAGGATGACGTACGGGGGCCCGTACGGTAATTTTTTTTCCCCGAGGCGTTTTAGCGCAATGTGCCTCTACTTTTCCCAGCGCCGTAATCTATAGGCGCACTTAATACAGCCGCTCGTTTTGAGTAACCTCGCCCTCTCCTTTCTACGCTTTCGCGCTTTACTCTCCTCTGTCCTTCCCCATGTGTTCCTTTCTCTTTTTCTTTCTCTTACCATGGCATGCACTCGCTCAACGCGCAACGTCGTCCCGCTCGTTCTTCACGCTCGTTCCTTCTTCCTCTCACCCTCGCTCCTCTTCCGCTTGGCATCTCCGGGCTCCACTTAGCGAGACTGCATAATATATCACGCGTGTGGATTGCTTTTACATCGCACACAGAGCTACGAACGGTGTGCAGCGAGCGGCACGATGCAAACGTTTACGTGCGTGCCGCGTAGCCACGTGCACGAGAATGCACCGGAGACAACGCCACGCACCGCGTGGCTTTTTCGCTCCGAGCTAAATCGTCTCCTCGTTCGCGAATGCTATGTGCGATCACCAAAGAAAAGACTTGTATCTTATCAACTCTCCGAAGACATACCTTTTGGAGGATTGTACCTAGATCATTCTTAAATCGTGCTCTATTGAATAAACAAAAAGTCGCTCCGCATATAAATATATATAAGGTAACTCTAGATGGTCTATATGGTCAACTTAAGTTTTTTTTCTAATTTTTTGCTGAGTTCAAAATTGATAACTGATGACCTGATTAAAAAGAAGAAATATTTCTGAATATTAAAAAAAAATATATGAGACATTTAAAATATTTATATGGGTGTAGTGAAGATTAAAAAAAAATAGCGTTTAGATCATATGGGTACATGTAGCTACACGATATACTGTCTGTTGAATCGTGTAATTATCCACAAATAAAGTAGGTTAGATTGGACACTAGGACATTCGATTACTTTACATGAAGCAGCAGTTTTCAAATTTAAAATTTTATATCTTTGCGATACAAAATGGATATACGAGTAATCTTTGAACGGAGACCCATTGTAATTGCCGCCAGCCAAAAGTCAAGATATTGTATACATTTAAGAGAGGCTTGAAAATATATGAACTTTTTATAGCAAACATTAAAATTTTACTCAAGTAAGTTTTTTAATAAATGGAATATAATTCTAATGGACAATAATGTAAAATTTATTTTAAAAAATAAAAAAATAACAGCGATCTTCAAAGGACATGTTGCAAGGTAGGTTTATGCAGTATCAACTATATTTTTTCTACTATTTATATGAAATAAAAAAATCAAATCGAATAAATAAAAAAAATCCAGTCTTTATCGTAGCCGATTAAAAAGATTGATTTTTCGCAAAATAACAATAACTAGAAATTGAGGTTTCAATTTAAAAAAAAACTATGCTTCTTTATTTGTACAATACAAAAGAAACTCAGACAAATATAAAAAAATTCTATGGCAAAGGCGAGCTAATATTATTCCAAGGGACCAATAAAAAATTTCAATCAAATACTCCGATCAAATACATAACTTTTCGAAACAGTTTCAATTTTTTAAAATATTGAGATTTAAAAAATATATTTATTTAAAATTTCAAATATAATTTATGTACATAAAAAATTAAATTTTTTCAACTTACGTAGAATTATTGATGCCAGGACTATATCCCTACATCCCAAACAGCATGCATGTCTAAAAGACATCTTTATGGGATCTTTTAAATATGCATGTCTGGAATGTCTTCAGTAGACGATATGGCTTCGAAAACGTTCGTTTTTTTGTCTGTGGCGAATTCTTGCCCCTTGAGTGGTTTTAGCGCCGTGCGCTTGGCATCGGTACTTCCTTCACCATTTTTAATTTTTTGACTGAAGTACTCATTTATTCTTTCTTTGTATACTCTTCTCTCGAACTCTATTGATTTATCGCAAATGTGAAAATTGAAGAATAAATGATTGAATATTCTTTTACAAAAATAGTGTTTTATTTTTTATTTTTATGCACAATTCCGACTGTGTAATAAATTAATATATCAAGATTAATGGGACGAAAAAAGATACTTAAAATTTACGCTTCTCC